AAACCCACAAACCGTTGATGATCAAGTAAAACCTGACCATCATATTCCTTTATCTGGTCAAGCTTCCTCTTCATGTTTGTAGCATAGTCATGTGCTAGCCGGTGCAACTGTTTATTCTCATGCTTGAGCCCTCTAACCTCATGTTTGAGACTCATCACTTCAGCAGCCAATGATTCAACTTGGTGGGTTCTAGCAAATAGGCGTTGGGCCATATTAGACACAGAACCTGCACACTAAACACTAAGAACCAGAGAATCCTTAACAGCCAACTCATCAGACCGTTTGGAAAGTAGTCTGTTATCTTTGGGAGTGATAAGGTTCCTGGCCACCACCGCAGCGGTCATATCATTCTTCATCACAGAATCCCCAACGGTAAGAGGACCAGTAGGGGATATGAAGGATGGGCGCCATATGTTGTCTGGAGAAGGCGTGGTTGTCTCTTCTCCAAGGTTCAAGTCAAAACGACGGTCGGAGGGGCCAGACATTTTCAAAGGTGTTGAAGAGGGAAGAGGTCAGACAAATCAAGATCTTAGAAGTGCAAGAAGGGAGCTTCTACTGGTGAAGATTCAAGTGTGCTGTGGAACTTAATGCCAACCTCTATAAAAATCTGCACTTGACGGAGCTTCAGGAATCGAAGAGGTGTTTGCTTTCTCGGAAGCTGAGCTGCTCAGAGACCACGAGGGCCGATCTCAGAAATCGAAGAAGCACCTGCTTTTTCAGCCTCGTCAGCACCTGTCACATGCACACTCAGCTTTGTGGAAATTACGGGCAATCTGTCGAAGATTTCTGGTGAAATAGAAAGCACGTGAATCTTACTGTTCAATCACCACTCTTCACACGCACCATCAACTCCTCGGGTACCACATATAACTTTGCCAAAGATATCTGACAAAGTTTAGGCACGAGAATTTCGAAGTTCCAGCTACCCTACTATTACCCACAAGGGTAAAGGAACAACACCACTACTTGACAACTGGAAAGTCCCTATGTGTGTCGACCTCCGTGTTCCGTGGCAAGACAGGCTAGCAAGAACGTCCAACCTTTACTCACATTCGAGAAAAGACTCTCAACATAATTACTTTCTCAAAAACCGAAGCGGCACCGCTTTCCGAATCTCGAGAGCCAGATCCCCGACGGGATTGCTTGTTTGAAAACCGAAGAGGCACAACTCTCAGAACTTCGAGAGCCAGATTTCCTTAGATAAAGCTTGTCTGTAATCTTCACACGCAACATCAGCTTTCCAGATACCACATACCACTTTTTCAAAGTGCTCTGACAAAGTTAAAACACGTGAAGCTGGCAGCTCCCACTACATTGCTGTGACCAAGAAAGGTAAAGGAATAGCATTACTACTTGTTATTGGGAAATCCCTATATATATCGACCTCCCTCCTCAACGGACAGGCAAACCTGCAAAAATGCTCAACCCTTTCTCGCATTCGAGAATGCACCCTCAACATAACCTCTCGAAATACTCAGCTTTATTTCCCCCCGATAATACCTCAGCAAATAAGCCACACCAAGAACAAGAGTATCTCATATCATCATGGTCGAAAGCAAGAGTATCCCATATCATGCTTTCTCCATGTCCTTATCTTCGTCCTTGTCCACACCTGCAGGACAAAGAGAAAGAGAGCAGTCAGTCGGAACCTGAAATCAAACCTCCAATCTGGAACTGACTGCCTGAGACCTTTGCCTGGTTGCTTACTTAGCATTGCTCTTGAGAACTCATCCTCAACTGCTGTCAAGGTCATGAATTCCACCGGCACATACCTCATGACAGTTGATCAGATATTGACTCTTTACACTGAAGCTGCCAAGCGTGGATGAGTCACTATGAAGGAATGTTCTGAAGGACCATTTAAATGCAAAGGTTGCACACCACTTCTGCCATGCAAAAGATTGAAGCAGAAGGTTCAACGGTGAGCTGAAACAGATCACTACAGCACGACACCTTTCCATACCACATTCATTATTCCGTCAACAGCAAAAGTATCCCATATCATCAAGGTCGAACGTACTCTAGATTTGATGGACTTGTTTTGACCCTCAAATTCTTGAGTCGGCCTTATACTCTGAAGGGAACCAGAAAACCCTCCAGCACAGTTCAAGAATAAGCCTGTGGAAAGTTACTTCTTCACAAGAAAAAGTATCTCATATCATCTCTTCTCCATTTGCTTCTCCTTATCCTGGCAGCTGAATGAGAGACAAGGAGAAGGAGAACAATCAACCGGAAGCCGAAGTCGAACCTCCGATCTTGGGTTGCTTGCTTGGAAGTTTGATTGCTTACCTTGTCTGTCACCTCTTTTGGCAGATCTCCTAGCTCGGTGACTTGGGGGACTCCTACTATAGGGTTTGTATCGCACTTGACCAAGCCCAAAACTACAAGTAAGCTTCAAATGAAATTGATACATTACCTTGTGCATCTTCATCGGTTAAAGATACCACCCATGGATGGAGGAAAAGTACTTCCAGAGAAGATGCCACATCTACATATGAGACAGATAAGGCACGTGAAAATGATACCACACTTCAGTACTTAGAAGTTTCGTGATTACTCAATGGCTTGGATCTTGCAAGTCCCCAACCAAGGAGCTTCCCTCACTCGGGAACTTAGGGGAGCACTGTTTGTACCATACTTGACCAATCCCGAAACTATTGAGCACCGGTCAACGTTATACCGTCAAGGACCCAGAAGAGCTTCCCTTCAACCAGGAGGCCAATCACAATGCGACACGTGTTGACATCAGAAGCCAATCACAGCTCGACACGTGTCAACATCAGAAGCCAATCACAACACGACACGTGTCAATGTTATAACAAAACTAGAAACTCTCTTCTATAAATAGGGATCATTCTCCCACAATAATCTCTAATGTCATTTTGTACTAAACTATTCACTAGAACTCACAAAATGAGAGCTTGAACCTATGTATTTGTGTAAACCCTTCACAATTAATGAGAACTCCTCTACTCCATGGACGTAGCCGATCTGGGTGAACCACGTACATCTTGTGTTTGCTTCCCTGTCCCTATTCATTTACGTACTTATCTTCACTAGTGATCGAAGCAACCAAGCGAATGTCACAAACCTGACACTTTCTGTTGTACCAAAGTCCTCACTGATTTTGTGCATCAACAAGTTACAAATCTCAGTAATAAAATTTTCTTCCAAGTTTATAAAAGGGATAATTAAATGAAATCATCAACAAATATTAGTAAAACGTTTGCATACAATTTATCATTTAACACTAGTTAATAAAAGATGATTTGTACTCTTTAGCAAGAAAAATTGTCGTTCAATATTAATCCTCATAAAATTCTCTTCCATGTCTAAGACAATTATCGTAATCAAGAATTCAAATTTAATGTATTAGTTACAGAATTCGGTTTTCTTTTCCAACTAACTCAAGTAAATACTTGTCTGAATTTCCAATTTTCCACCCCCTAAACCATATCCCAAAAGAAATTAATCGTGCATACACACACAGAAAAATCAGTACATTTTTCTTTTCGAGTACTGAAGTATTTTGCCCTAAATCAAGTTTGAAAACATAACCTTTTATTCGTTTGTACGTCACATCTTTAGGGTAAAATTAGATATCAACTTTGCAAATATACTCTTACGTTCTTCCATTTTCTAACCATACGGCAAATGGACCCGAATTACCCGATGTATCTTCAAGTTGGATTTAGAAGTTGGGCCATGAAATGAATTTCTTCAGGCCCTCGTAGAAGGACTTCCTTTTAAGAAATGATTTTAGCACATATTATTTTCTTTCGCACTCCTGATTTTGTTTGTAGTCAAATAATTGAATTAATTAAAAAGAAATTAAGGTAAAAATAAGGTGATGCATACGGAATTACAGTCTATAAGTGTGAAAGTCATTGCCCTTCTTTGAATTAATTTTCTTTTTTGCATACCTGTTTTGATCCTTTTTTGCACACTCGGCCTATGTACCTGTTTGGACTCATTTTCGAACCATCAAATGCACTTTAGGCCGTTTAATGAAGAAAAACAAGAGTGTTAATGACAATTATCATGATCTTGGGTTTATTTTCGACCAAAAAAACAAAAACAAAAATGTCATATGCAACTTTATAATGCATGATGAGTTTAGTATGGAGAGACGTGTGATCAGGATAATTTCAAAAGTAAATTGAACTTTTGAAATATAATATATGAAAGACTCCTTCATATGTTAAGTTTGAAAATTCGTCAAATATAACAAGACAGTGTTACTTAAAACAATGTGTTAAGAACATGAATTTGGCATTAAAAAATATTTTTATAAAATAGTTGGACTACTTGCAAATTGACTATATAAAGAATTGAAGATTAAAGGACCACTGTTTCAAAGACGCTATTGGGGCTAGAAATCAGAAAACAAATGGAAAGTAATATAGAGAGAGGGAGACAACTTTCAACTCCATTAAAGTTTTAATATGTCATCTGCGTTTGAATATGTACCTGAATATGTGTTCATAAACTCTCGATATACAATGTTTCCCCCCCAAAAAAAGGATATTAAAAGCCCGAAACATATGAAGTTTTGAGAATACTTGCGAGCAAATTGTCCAAACAATATTGATATGGGTTACGTAATCTTTGGAGGGGTCAGCTGAAGTTGGATGTATAAAATATGAGATAACGAGGAATGAGTTTGCTGCAGAAAAAAAAAAAAAAAAAAAATTGAGATGAGCAGCAATAGAAACATCAAACTGTTCGTATACGTACTCACACCTTGTGATTTGAATTTCGTTTGATGCCTAAGATTAGATTGGATAACTATCTAGAGTTTAATATATATTGAATGAATAAATGGATATTAACTTCAAGGGATTATATTTTCTTGATCACTAATCTATCTTTCTACTTAAGTTTGGACAAAATTTGAAAGTTGACATTTTTTCTTGTCAAGATTTTATAAAGGGACTGCAGCAGGCACTACTAATAAACCAGACACCAATATTGTCACAGGTTAACTACTTAACCAAACATAAAAAGTTTAATCACAAAAGACCTTAATATAATTAGAGTAAAACCACTTAATACATTACAGTTTCAAACCAATTGTCAATACTAACGAGGTTTGAGAGCTCCTCAAATAGAGTGAAAACTAGATGCTGACCAAATGGTTGGCGATCTTTTTACTTGCTTATTTCATTAGAACATTATAACGTCACCTTATTAGGCTTATTTTCACGTAAGCTTAAAGCACAACCACTTTGGAATTCGATAGATGAGACATGTTTCCAATTCATACTCCTTGGAAGAGCACGCCATTGACACTCACCCCGCCGTCGACAAGAAGAGTTTGCCCAGTAATGTAAGAAGCTGCAGGTAGGCATAGAAATGCTACCAGCGAAGACACCTCCTCTGGCTCCCCAGGACGTCCTAAAGGGCACCGAGAGTTTATCATCTCCAATGCCTTTTCATTTCCGAGAAACTACATGTACAGAAGAGCGAATGGATGTAATATATCAGTAATTGTTTAATAACTTGTCTAGCTCTTCAATAGAAAATAAATAAAGGGTGACTTTAGATGTAGTCTCTAGTTATCAATATTATTTCACAGAAACCTTATTAGTTTTCAGTTATTTATTTATTTATTTTTTTTTATTTTTTTATCAAAGTATTTGGACTTTGTGCAATGCATCATATTGATATTAATGTATTTCCATATCAACTATTTCTTTTTAAAATTCCTTAATTTATGGATTTCAAGTTTTGTAATAAATTATTCCCTAAAAAAATATAAAAGGCACACAATACACAGTAAAATTTGAAACCAACATAACATTAATCTACCAACAATCAAGCGGGTACATTCTAAACACATAAAAAAAAACAATGTACACATAACATTGGTCCTCATGACACGGATCCAAAACAAGAAGTGCAATATATATATGGATACATTTTGCATAGAATATACCCATGTGACCAAAAAATGCATTCAACTCATATATGGGTACATTCTAAACTCATAAAAAAAGTATTGTAAATTTGTACCCATTATGTACTCCTACAAAATTGTTGAGGCATGTGTTCATGGAGTAAAAGATGACAACGAGGAAGAGGAGTGACTTCAATTGCACAAATTAGATACATTAGGTGTTAAATAGACTTTTGGTCTGAACTAATCATAGTTTGTTTTGCCTAAAATGTAGGAATTGATTAGATCTAACTAATCTTACGAAAATTTGGAAAGTAAATGAATTAATTATATTTGATTGGTGATATAAAGTTCAACCGAAAATAAAGTACAAAAACAAAAAAAAACAAAGTGTTATGTTTAAATGCAAAAATGGATAGTCAAAGGACTTTGATCATAAATCAATAAGGTTTCAATAAATAAATATTAGTGGGTTGGGGTTGGATCTTAATTTTTTTTTTTTTTTTTTTGAAGAAAGATCTTAATTTATCTTAATAAAGACTAGAAGTTTATTTTTCTTTTCATTTTCATGTTTTTAATACTTTTGATTGTTCTAGTTAGAATTATAGCACATGATTGTGTAAATCCAAGTAGATTGTGTTTAGGATCCTTATGTAATCGAGAAGATCTTAGGATTTTCTTACTTATAGAGCAAGTAAGCCTTTTATCTTTACTATAATTAAGGCACAAAAATAGGGAGAATAATAAACATAGAACTTTCCTACACCTCTCTTTATCTCTTTGCTGTCACTTCCCTCTCTCTCCCTCAGTTAAATTTTGGCCTACAACATTGATTTTAATTTGAGCATGGTTATTCTCTTAATGTGAATTCACAATTACTTCACTTACAGTACTAACCTAATAAATACATAATGGATAAAAGTGTATACATATTTTTTTTGTTTTGTTTCTTACTCCCACGAGCAAATCCAATTTTTATTTTATTTTAAATTTACTATTATTAGGGAAAATAGAGAGTTCAAAACTATTACAATAATTTAGGAAAGAGGGAGTTTCCGAAACACATGGGTAGAAATCCAACACCTTATCCACTATAATATTGGACGGCATGCAAAAAGAAATACAAAAACAAATCCAATTCTTTCAAAATCAAGAGTTGAATTCCTCATTGTGTATGAGCCCCACTAGTGTTGTGATTCCTCCATGTTTTTTAGTCACAATCCAACTTCTTATTCTGATTTGATTACGGACATTTGAAAGATCCCATTAATGAATTGTTGACGGGGTTGAAGTTAAAGCATGCTTAAGGACATTAGATGTAAAAAACTTGGAATGTAAGTGGTTAAGAGAATTCACCTATATTCCTTAGGTCCTGTTTCGATTTTCCTTCTCAATATCGGTTGTATTTAAAAATTAAAAACAAATGAAAATAAAAAAGCATGCACAAGCACGTGGTGATAATGATCTTACCATATCACCAAGGGGAGTGGCAATGAACCAAGGTGCAACACTGTTAGTCCTTATGTTATCTTTTGCCCACTCACATGCCAAGTTTCTTGCTAATTGATTTATTGCACCTGAGAGAGACAATATAGAAAAGCCACACAATTTAAGCTCGATTGTTAATGCGGGGAGGAAAACAGAGGGAGGATTATTGAAATCTCAAGCACAACTAGACCTAAGGAACATATAAAGAACTAGTCTATGTTTACATAAAATCATTCAAAATACATAATTCCTCCTTCCTTAACCATTCTAGCATTTTAATAGGCCTAGCAACAACCTGATTAAACACTAGCACAACTTCCTTGTCACTACAACATAAGAAATAATAATCACCAAACCAAGCCAACCATATAACTAAAAAACACAATATTCTAAATACTGGATTACTAGGGATATTAACTAGATTTGAAAACTTAAGGGAACATCCCAAATATCAAGATCCCTACTTAATCAACCTCCTTAATACACTAAATCAGACTCCTCTGCTTGGAAAGAATTCGTCCTCGAATTCATGTCGTGTGTTGAAGAGAATCCCAAGCAGTCTTCGATTACGCATAATTTGTTTCTTGACCCTCTTCGTTTGAAATTGGCACTGTCCACTCCAATGAAAAGGATATTTAGAATTTGCTTGTTATTGGATTTCAAAAATCCTCTATCTTATTTGGCTTTGCCACCCAAAGATTCCTTTCACCATATTTCATCTCATTAACAACAACTAGTTTTTTGGGCAACTTCACACTAAAGGCATAAGCTCCAATAAAATCCCCTTGTTCACTAATGCAATTTACCTTGGTGTGGAGCTCGCAAATGGCTCTCTCATATTCAGTTGCACGTTCAAGAACTCTACCAATCATATCACCAAAGTTGACACAACCTCCGTCAACCTCATCAAGCAATTTGAAAAACTCCTTATTTGCATCCACATGAACAACTGCCGAATTCTTTTCTTCAACTCCACAAAATTCATCAATCCCAAATTGTTCAGTTTTGCTTACTAGAAAACAATTCACAATCATCTTCGAGGAAACAATCAAATATTGGTGGTAGATTTACAATCAATGAATCTGACACAACAAAATAACCTCCACAACTTGAACTCAAGAAGTTAGCTTTATCACTTGAGTAACCTGGCTTTAACTCTCTAGATTTGTTGCTAACATTTTCTTGATCAAGTTGCATGGTTAGGAGTTCGACTTGTCGTCATAGCTCTTGAATTTCGTTGTCACTCGCATTCCTGTGATTTTCCTGCACATGGTAATCACACCTTCCTCTAACGTTCCTTGTTGCCATTTAGATAAATGATGCCGAAGCTACCCAAAGAGTGTAGCAAAGCTCTAATAACCAAATAATGCGGGGAGGAAAACAGGAAGAGGATTATTGAAATCTCAAGCACAACTAGACCTAAGGAACATATAGAGAACTAGTCTCTGTTTACATAAAATCATTCAAAATACATAATTCCTCATTCCTTAACAATTCTGGCCTTTTAATAGGCCTAGCAACAACCTAATTAAACACTAGCACAATTTCCTAGTCCACTACAACATAGGAAATAATAATCACTAAGTTCCAACCCAACCATATAACTAAAAAACACAATATTCTAAATACTTGATTACTAGGTATATTAACTAGATATAAAAACTTTAAGGACCATCCCGAATATCAAGATCCCTACTTAATCAACCTCCTTAATACACTGCATCAATTGTTCAACTGCATGCAGAACACAGACGATCCATTGATTTTGTTTTCATATAAAGCTCAAAACTATATAAGGAAAATAATTACGCACCTTTAGTTGCAGAATATATAGTTCCAATATTTAGTGAGACCACACCAGCAATGGAGGACAACAAAACGATGTTAGCGGATCCTGAAGCTTTGAGCAGAGGATGTGAAAGTTGGCACAAATGGTAGGCAGATTCAAGATTGGTGCTCATTAAGAATGAGTAATCTTCAGCTGTGTACTCTAGTGTTGCTTTTGGTCTGTTAGCCCCCACATTGTTTATCTACAGCCACACATTTTTGGAAAGGTTTAGTATAAACACAACAATTTTATCCATAGATTGGACGACTAATTAGCACAACCATTATCATCACAATTATCCAATTAACTATGAGTGCTGATATGCCACACCATAGTCTTATTTTCCATGCACTTTTTAATGAAATTTTTAATATGAAATTTAACCTTATATAAAAGACTTTAAAAGCCCATTTAAAAATTATTCCTCTTACATATTTTTTGTAATCAAAGAAAAAAAAGACTAGAAAAAAATTTTAAAAACTGAAATGAAAAACGAATCAAGTTGTCCATCAACCTCCCAATTTTGTCCCTTCATCCCTCAGCCCTTTCTAACTGTTTCATCCCCCTCCATCTTCTATATCTTCCGTCCACCCCACCCATCCCAAATTTTCTCTCTTCTTTTGTCCCTACTTTTCAAACCTTAATTCTAAATTGAAACTCGGGAATAAACATGGATATGAATCTTAAATTCAGATCTGGTAGGAAGAGAAACAAAGAGATAGAGAGAAACAAAGAAAAGAGAAAAGAAAAAAAAGAAAAAAAAGGAAGATAACTTTCCTAATGGCAAAGAGAAAATGAGTTTTTATTGTCATATGTGGTGCCTGGTTGTGGTTGCCTTCGGCTGGGTTGACCATAGACGTTCGTAGCTATTCTATTTTAGGAAACTAAATGGATAGGAAGAGAGTGTTTGGTTTTTTTAACTTTTATAATGTGAAAATATAACGTGACTATTAACGTTTTTTAGGCCACTAAAACCCCGGTCTCAAATGCTATCCAATCTAATTGTACTGGTCCTTTTATTTTTTGTCAGAATTGTGGTCATGCTGTAATTGGTCTCTTGTCTAAACGAGGTTATTATGGAGGGGGGAAATCACGCAAGTAGATGATCCTATTTTCAAATACTATATCTACAATTTATGGTAAACAAGAATATAACTTGCATTCTCTTTTTGAGAATGATCACGTTCATTCACTTGCAAATAACATATTTTCACCGCATAAATAAATAAAAATTAATATACTATCATGGTCTCAACTTTGTTGATTCAAATTATTATTGGACGACCATTATAGATTAGAGAAGAAAATTAAACTTCTACTAACTTCAAATTCTTAATTTTTCCCAGAAAGTGAACTTTTCTCGAACTATATAGGATCCAAGACATCTTGTCTGCTACTACCAAATTACCAATTCAATTTTCTCCATGACAAAAAATCCATAACAAAACAATAATAAAGCCAAAACTGAGTACTTTGTGAAAGTTCTATAGTATATCGGTGTATGGAATGCTTGGTTCCTTGAGCGGCTAGATTTCTATTGTACAGTTTGATACTTTTAATCTAATTGTTCAAATATCAGTGCATCTCGTACATTTGGTATATTGTAGGAGAAAGTGTGAATTTCAAAGGCTACACATAGCTCCTACACTCGCTTAATTACTTGAAAACTCTTCTTATGGATAATTGACTAATATTTGATTCATTTTGTTTCAAATGAGTTCATCCCTAAACTCATCTTAACCTTCAAATTCATGAACACACATTAATCTTCTAACTTCATCATGTATTGACCTCTCTAGATGCCAACCGTTGTATTAATTAACTTCTAACATTATCTTTGATGAAATTGTTGCCAAAACTTTCAACATCTTTAACAGAATATTTAAGAGACTTAATGGAAGGGAGCAAAATGGTACCTGAAAATATGTTTAAAGGCCAAATGGGTCAAAATGACTTTTGGAAGGTAAAGTGAGATTCGAAAATACTTTCAATTAATCGAGGAGTCCTGTACTTACAAGGATGTTAAGTTTCCCATCAAAGAGTGATGAGACCTTGTTTATAAGTTCCTCTCTTTGGGTTTTGGACACCACATCACAGACTGATCCAGTAACTTGAAAACCCTTCTTCTCCCATTGACTCAGGCAGTCATTGAGGTCAACTTCAGTTCGGGCACAAGTATGCACAATTGCACCTAGCCCGGCCAATTCCTCCACTATAGCATACCTGTATAATTACATTATCAATTTTAACATAGAGCAGCAAAATTAAGAAAAATCTGAAGCATTGGCCCCTGAATTTTAGTTAAATTGGAGATTAAACATTTGTTGGCATCCATCTCTGAACTTGTTAGTGGAGCAATGGTCTTAATGGGTAACTCCCTTCCTTGTCCTTTATTTTTGCACTTATTTTCCCTTACTTATCCTTCATTTTAGACCCATGTTCTAGCAGTATTACCCAAAATAAAAAAATTGCTTTATGTTGTGATAAGTTTAGAGATTAAAAGGAGTTGAGCCAAAATTCAGACCAAAATTCCAATTTAGTCAAAATTCCAATTTATTTTGCCCTTATTTTCTCTTATTTGTCCTTCATTTTGACGGAAGTTCTAGCAATATTACCTAAACTAAAAAAAAATTGCTTTAAGTTTAGAGATTAAAAGGAGTTGAGAGTCAAAATTCAAAGACTGATAGCCTAATTTTCTTGTAAAATTGATTCAAACTCATAATTGTAAAATAGATCGAAGAAAACAAGGGACAATTGAAGAAATAAAGAGAATATTACATTCCATGTAAAGGAAAATTTGAAATTAAAAAAGATTAATAGTCTTAATTATCCAGATATAGAGAAGCTAACCCAATTCCTTTGGTTCCACCAGTGACAAGAGCTGTCATTCCCTCTAGCGACCATCTTCTACCTCTGCTGTTCATCTCTCTCTCTCTCTCTCTCTGTCTCTCTCTCTCTCTATTGTCAGATAGTAGGTGACCAGGACAAGCTACACGGGGCGTAGCTGATTGAATCCTGATAATCCCAACACAAACACAATAACCACTAGTGCTACTAGTCTTTGCGGTGAACTTTGTAGTTATATGATGATTTGGGTTGCTAGAGTCCAACGATAAAATTATTACGCCATGAAGAAACAAGGGGGAAAAAAACAGAAACAAAAAAGAAAGCGCACAGTTTTATTTGCTTGTTTTGATGTGGCAGACTTGACTCATATGTTAAGGAATTAATGTTAGCGAACCAAATTTTATCATATTTGTTGAAAAAAGTTTTAGTAAAGACTTATTTTTTCTATTTTTTATACAAGCGAAGTCAAACTTAGTTTAATCAAAATTGTAAAGAGAAATTCAAATTCAAAAAGCACATTTGCTATAAACATTATGGATATCTCTACCTATATGTGCATATTGACTCCTTATTAGCTGGCTTGGAAGTATAGATGATATTGCTATCAACGAACGGTGCTGTAATTTTGAATTATATGCCAAAATCATTACCACTATGCATACCCACTTTTAATCTATAATTGCATGCTGCTTCATTTGCAATAATATATAGTTTAGTCCTGTGGATAGGCTGCTCCATATGCAACAATATTAGCCCTGCGGACAGGCTGCTCCAACAACCTAATTGTCTGCCAGATGATTCCAGCCCATTTGGGCTATTGGGCCGAGGGGGAGCCCCAGGGACAGCTCATGCACAAACCCAAGGCCCGAGTGCTTGAGGGAAGAGTGATGCAAGGCTGACGTCAGCCACGTTATAAAAAAAAAAATTACGTCAAGCGCATGGCTAACAACGCGATTGGGGGCGTGTCACCGACAGGGTTTGCAAGTGATGGGGCCTGCGCTGGACAGGCTGTCTGTAGTCGTTGCTGGGTGCAACGTGGCACCCTCTCAGCCGTTGAATTTCAACGACTTTTTTTTTCTAGACCGATCGATTTCCAACTATCAAATTTTTTTTCAAAACTCCCCCAAGGACTAGATGACATGGCACAATCTGAGCCGTTCAATTCCAGATCAACGGTCCACCTTTTTCGGCTTTAAAATTTTTTAAAAAAATGATACGTTACTGTTATGCCACGTGTCACAATCTGGAGTGTTGAATTTCAAATTTTCTGTAATCCAACGGTAGAAATTAATTAAGTTAATAAAAAAAATTTAAAAATGTTAAAATTAATAAAAAATCTGAAAAAAAAAATTTAAAAATTAAATTTTTTATTTTTTATTTTTCTATAAATACCTTACCTTTAACTTCCACCTTACACCACACTTTCATATTTTCTCAAATACTTTCAACCACATTCCAATCTTTCTCTCGAAGTTTCTATATACTTTTGTTTCAAAAAAAAAAAAAGGCTAATGATGCAGGTACAAACTAGACGCTTATTGAAGATGTTGCATTGTGTTCTAGCTAGGTTGAAGTTACTCATGATCTGATTACAGGTAATGAGATGCAGTTGCGAGAAATGAACTTAAAAAACACACCAAATAAAATTACATAAACATACCAAATAAAAAAAAACACACTAAATGAACTTCAAAAACACACTAAACAAACTAAGAGCATTCTTCTTCCACCACAAGCTTGTTTTTAAGTTTCTTGAGCTTGTTTCAATCTCCACAAGTGCTCTATCAAGTCACTTTGCTGGGCTTTGTGGTAGTATGAAGATTTGAGTGAAGTATATCGTTGAATGAGCCTTTCATTGTAACATCCATCCCTTTCTAATGGCTAGTATTGCACGGGTTCTTCAGTGGCCTCATGAGCACAATATATTTGTATTTTGGAATTGTTCATCGTGTTTGCAGATGCTTGATTTTCCCATCCTCACTATCTCATCCACTTGGTTTGCATATGCTCCCTATGCAAGCATCCGCAAGGTAACATTAATTTTTTTTGCTTAGGAAGGAGACCCATGACACTAAAAACATCCTTATTTTGCACAAAGTAAGAATCATGGTTGCAAACAACAATCATGATTTTATTGAACAATTATCGTTGCATTCTAAAATGAGGTTTAAAGTACACATAAGGGAATGCACTGTTATGGTCAAAATAATTCTCCATGAGATCTGTACCTTGTCGTTGCCTGCTTCTATCAATGTTTGCAGAACACCTGGGCCTGGAGATCTCAGCCACATCTTGGATGACTCGATGGGAATGTGAGACTCTTTGGCTTCTTGCTTCGTCATCTCTCATTCTATGCTCCTCATCCTCATCCTTTTCCATCTCATTTCCTCTCTCCTGGAGATTGAACATTTCTTCCCCTTGCTTAAACAATTATGTATCTTGCTCATTGATTTCCCAAAACATCCTTGAAGAAGACATTATATGAAGGAAGGAGAATCTATGTATAAGCATAGAGATTTTGAGAGATTTTGATTTTGGTGTGTGATTTCTTAAGATGAATGGTGGGTTATATGGAGAAAAAAAAGAAAGGATTAGGTTGTAGATAATGTCATGTGGCACGCCGTGATTCGTTAAAAATTTTATCGAAATCTATTCTCAAAGATTCTAAACAGATTGTGACACGTGGCGCGACGAGATTGGTTAAAAATCTTATCAAAAATCTATCATCAACGATTCTAAGAAGGTAACGACATGTGGCGCGACGGAATTGAATAAAAATCTTATCAAAATCTATCATAAAAAATTGTACTTTTGGATAATGACACGTGGTGTAACGAGACCGATTAAAAATCCTATCCAAAATTACAAATAAAATTATTTTTTATTATTTTATAAAATAAAAAATAGTATATATGTTATTGGCTATTGCCATGACTATTCAGTTTAGGAGTAGAGATGCAAAAGACAATTATTGTTCATTAAAGACAATTACTATTCAATGGAGGGGATTCAATTGCCAAATTACCATGGGAACGGTATTCTAATTTGAATTATATGCCAAAATCATTACCACTATGCATACCCACTTTTAATCTATGATTACATGTTGCTTCATATGCAACAATATATAGTTTATTTGAGTCAGACATAAACAAATATATATTGAGGTCACTTTGAAATATGATGTGAGTAGAAGAAGGGGCCAAATTCAAAGAAAAAATCGTTAAGAAATAGATGATAATAACAGAATATGTGGGAGTTGAGGGACCCAAATGAAACTGCATGAAAAGATAAGTGAGTGGAATACTGATATGTCATCTCAATTCACTGCTAAAAAGATCAAATCTTAAATGATTACTTAGAAAAGTTGTGAAGTGGGCGCCCTCAATGGATTCACACAGCCATTTAAAAAAAGGAAAACTAATGAAAAGAGTTTGAAAACTTTGAGTTTTAACGATAAGGACAAAATAAAAGGTAAAGTAATAGTACCAGGTCTGACTTTTTAGTGTAAAAATGTGGTTTTTCGTTAAAGTGAATAATATCGTGGGCTTTGGGTTAAAACTCCCTTTAAAAAACGTGCATCGAAATAAGGTTAAGAATGCAGGAGATTTGGTAGAATACCATTACCATCCATGGTACGGTATTAGGCTCGGATCATTGCCCGATCATTATTCAATGTGAGCCCAGATTGAAAGGTGGTTGGAGATTATTCTGGTTTGAAGCTTTCTGGTCAAAGGATGAGGATTGCAGAGATGTGGTGCGCGCGTGTTGGCAGAGGCAGAGTGGGGGGGTTGCGATTGAAAAATGTCATAGAAAGCTTAACAGCTACTGATCAAAACTCATTCATTCGAGTAGGAAAAAGTTCAAATTGAGAGGTCAGTGAATTGATGGGCTACTAGACACATTTGGCAAGTTACAATTGAATTGGGCCGAAAATATTGATGAAATAAAGGAGATTTCAATGTTAGTGGATAACTTGAGCAATCAAGATAAGAGCTTCTGGATGCAAAGGTCTCGAGTAAAGTGGCTGAGAGAGGGTGATGCCAATACTTCATTCTTCCATCAATCAACTCTACAAAGGAGAAGAGGAAATAAGGTGATGAAGATCATGGAGAAGAATGAGGATTGGGTGGAAAACTCGAGCAGGATTAGGACGATGGTTGATAATTACTTTATCAACATGTTTACATCTTCAAGGAATAGAGATGGGGGGTTTGTTTTGGATTGTCTTCCTACAACCGTCACTGAGGAGATGAATGTGGCTCTGACAGCTTCGGTATCGATTGAGGAAATTAAAGCGACGGCGCTTCAAATGGGCGGGCTTAAAGGCTTCGGGGCCGGATGGGTTCCAAGGTATTTTTACCATTCTTTTTTAGGGGGACATTGTCTTGGATGTTAATGATTTGGTGCATGCTTTGATGAACAAAATTTCCAGTCTTAGTCGAATTAATGCTACACATATCGTGTTGATACCAAAAGTCCAAAACCCGGAGTCTGTCTCTCAATTCCGCCCAATTAGTCTTTGCAACTACTCTTACAAAGTCCTATCCAAGGTGCTTGCAAACAGACTAAAACCCATATTGCCGCACCTTATCTCTCCTATGCAGAATGCCTTTGTGGCGGGAAGACAGATTTAGGACAATATTGGCATCGTTCATGAGATTTTCCATTTCCTAAAGCTTAGGAAAACTAAATTTAAGTTCGAGCTTGGCATCAAACTGGATATGCAAAAAGCCTATGATCGGGTCGAGTGGGATTTTTTGGAGGCAGCTATGGAAAAAATGGGTTTTAATCCTACTTGGCGGAGGCTTGTTATGGGATGCGTTAGATCGGTTAATTTTGCCGTCATTATCAACGATCAGCCTGGAAATAAGTTTGCTCCTTCCAGAGGTCTCCGGCAAGGTGACTCGCTATCCCCCTATCAATTCCTCCTTGTAAGTGAAGTGTTGTCTAGGTTGATCCAGTTGGCAGTGGAGAAGAGGTTGCTGGACGGGGTACAGATGAACCCCCGTGGCCTGGTCATTTCGCATATTTTCTATGCCAATGATATGCTAATTTTTTGAAGGCATATAAGATTAACTGCATGAATATGGTTAATTTGTTAAGGGCCTATTGCAATGCTTATGGGTAGGAAGTAAATCTACATAAATCTAGTGTATATTTTGGTGCTAATACTCCTGATTCTGTTACCATGGAGCTATGGTGTATCTTCGGTATGGTTGTGGTTGGTGACCCTGGTACATACCTTGGGGTACTAGCCTTTTGGGG